GCAGCTCCGACTCCAGCTGCCCCCGCTGCCCCAGCAGGTTCTCCAGCTGCCTCCTCAGGTTCTGGATGTAGTTCTCAAAGATCACATCCAGGTTCTTCCTCGGCCCCACTGGCCCCTGCTGCTGCAGCAGCTCCCACTTGGTGGAGAGGACCTTGTTCTGCTGCTCCAGGAACCGGACCTGAACCCAACAGGGGTGTGTGAGACATTCCCAAGGGAACATCCCACTGCCCAAACCTCCTGGGAGCTCTGGGGGGCCAAGGGAATCACTCCCCAAACCCCCAACAGGACATTGCTTCCAAGAGCAAAATTCCTCACTTCTTTCTCCTTTTTTTCTCCATTTTCCTTAAATTCTCCCATTGTTCTCCTCCTACCTTTCCACTCTCTTTTTTTATAACTAATATTATTATTTTTTTTTACCTATTGGAACGATTCCATTCCAATTTTACAAACTATTTTCATTTCCCTCCCCAATGTGGGGAATGTTGCCCCACATTATTTTTTAGGAGTCTCAGATCATTTTTGACCTCCCAGTGAACGAAATCCCATTTGTCTCCATATCCGAGAACTTTCCTCTCATCAGTCAATTCCAATTTCCTAATTCCAGTTCCAAATTCCAATTTATGGAAATTATTCCATAAATAAGTCACATATTTAAAAAAAAAGCATGGAGCACGTTCATACCCAACATTCTCCCAGTTCAGACAATTTAAAGGGAACTCGTCTGCACTTGAACTGAAACGAGGAATGGCCGGGATTTACTTGGAAGCTCATTCCTGGATTTTAAGTTCTTTGAAATAAACGTATCCCTGAGAAAGCACAGACTTAAGGGAACACTTGGATAAGGGAGTGTATCCCGATCCCTTTGGCCTGGCTGCCCAGAGGGCACCGGAGACAAAACCAAGGGAGAACCTGGATCAGCCTTTGGGATCCACGAATATCCCTCAGTTTCTCCACAGACACAAAATTTTGGCATTTCCTCGGGAGGGCCCGAGGGAAACTCTCCCTGGCCAACACCAATCCGAGGAGGACAACCTTCCCCTCTCCACTGAATCCCCCAGAATTCCCCCATCCCCGAGCAGACCCCTCACCTTGTCGATGAAGGAGGCGAACTGGTTGTTGAGGGTCTTGATCTGCTCCTTCTCCTGGCACTTCACCTGCTGGATCTGGGGGTCGATGTCCACGTGGACGGGTCGGAGCAGGGTGGGATCCACCTGCACGGGCTGGATTCCCCCGGGGAACCCGGGGCCGCCGCGGACGGGCCCCACAAAGCCGCCAATTCCTCCTCCAATGACCCCTCCTGCGATGCCGCCGAATCCTCCCACGAATCCTCCGCTGAATCCCGGGATCCTACATCCGTAGGAGCCTCCCACGGACATCCTGGCGCTGCCCCCCAGGTTGTGGAGGCTCCGGCTGCTGAAGCCCCCGCAGCGTCCCCCTCCTCCGACCCCTCTGGACGTGGAGAAGGAGCTGTAGCTGATCCGGCTCCGGCCGCCGCTGCCCCCGAACCCGCCGCCCACGGCGGAGCAGGAGCTGAATCCCTTCCTGCTGCCCATCCCGAAGCTCCTGCACACGGACTGACGGGACATCCCAGCGCTCCACAGAGCCAAAGGCGCGGAGGACGAGGAGATCGGTGGAGCTGGGCTGGTGCCGAGGGCAGAGAGAAGTGCTCAGAGTCTTCTCTGGCTCCCCGGCTCCGGGCATTCCCTTTTATCCGCTGCTGGGGGTGGGCCGGGGCGGCTTGGGCGTGAAGAGGAAACACATTTACTGTCTCCATCAGCTCCGTGCGGTTTCCAGGCTTTTGCCAAACCGGCGACTCCACCCATAAATCCTCCTGGCCGTGCAGAAGGGGATGGGGAGGCAGGAGCAGGTTCTCCCTGGATAAGTGGACTCCCGTATCTCTCCGGCATCTAAAAAAATATGTTTTACAGCGATGGTGTCATGTTCTTCCCTCCTCCTCCTCCCACCTCCCTCCCTGCTCCAAACGACTCCGCGCGTCGCCTGACTCGGGGTTTTTTCTCCTGACGCCCCACGCCGGGCAGGATTTTGGTGAAACCCGGCTGGGATGAGGCTTTCATTTCACAATCCCCCACACACACCCCTCAAGCACACCCCAAATCTCCTTCCCAAGCGGAAAATTCCCGCTGGCTTTCCAAGGGGAAAAAGCGCCGCGTAAGGAACATTTGGCGGCCGTCAGCGTTTCTGTCTGGCCCGGGAAGGAGCTGTTTGGTCCCTGCCCGAGAGCCTCGGGTGGGTGCCTTCCCTCCGGAATGTGTCCCCTGGGGTTGGGGACAAGCAGGGCCCGGGATTCCGAGCACCGGAGGGGGATGAGCAAGAGAACAAGGATGTCCAGCTCCTTCCTTGTGCTTTTCCAGTGGCCACAGGGACTGTGGAGCCCGGGGAGGACGGAAAGGACGCTCGGGGCAGTCGCTGTGGTAATGAGGACTGACAGGAACGTTTAATTCCGTGCACCGGCTGCCTGGTGACGGAGTTGGAAGCTCACCCGAAGGACATCCTGCAGGTGCCTCCTGGGGGGTCATTCATCAACCAAATATTTTAGTTAAATTTATGGAATTCAGGGGAAAAAAACCCCCACAATGTTTCCACCATTCTTATTTCCTGAAAATCATCAATAAAAGTCAATTCCGTGTTTTCAGGCATTTCAGCAGTCCAGGGATATCCTGGATTTCACCTTCCCGAGTGGAACATGTGCCTGTGCCGGAGTTTTGACACTCACACCTGAGATTTGGGCAGGTAAATGTGGTTTGAAGGTATCCCCAGGAATCCGCCGGCGGCCACAGACTCTGCAAACCCTTCTGAAAACCAGCCCAGGGAACCACTTCCAAAAGCCACTGGGGGAGTGAGAAACGTGGATGTTGTCAACTGGAAGTGGGATGGGGCTGCTGGACCCTCAGGGTGGGCAGAACGGGGGGAGGGGGAAGGTTACCTTGGAGGGGGATTCAACTGCTGGCCGAGGGTTATCCCACCCCTGAGGGACTCAAAACCACTTGGCTGAGGGTTATCCCACCCTTAAGGGACCCTAAAACCACTTGGCTGAGGGTTATCCCACTCTTAAGGGACCCTAAAACCACTTGGCCAGGGGTTATCCCACCCTTGAGGGACTCAAAACCACTTGGTCGAGGGTCATCCCATCCTTAAGGGACCCTAAAACCACTTGGACGAGGGTTATCCCAGTCCTGAGGGACCCTAAAAACACTTGGCTGAGGGTTATCCCACCCCTGAGGGACTCAGGTAATGGTTGGGCAAGGGTCATCGCACCCTTGAGGGACTCAAAACCACTGGCCAGGGGTCATCCCACCCTTGAGGGACTCAAATGTTGACCAAGGGTCATCCCACCATTGAGGGACTCAAATGTTGGCCAACGGTTTTCCCACCCTTGAAGAACTCAGGTGAGGATCGGCCAAGGGTCATCCCACCCCGATGGCCTCAGGGGTTGGCCAAGGGTTCTCCAGATGTGTGTCCCTGCAGCTGGAGAACGGGCAGCACCCCCACAGCGGGGAGGGGACACCCTCCCTTCCCAAAGGAGCCTGAACTGAGGAGTCTGAGTTGAGAGGGTCTCGTTTCTCCACTGTCACATCCAAGGTGGAGATTTAAGTTCCCCGGATCATCCTGCAGCCCAGAGCAGCCCCGGGGAGGTGCAGGATGGCTCTGGTTTAGCTGGAGAAAACAGATCATCCCTTCTCCCGGGCTCCCGATTTCCAAAGGGCACCTGCCTTCCTCGGGAGGCACCGGGAGTCACCTGGAACGTCCCAGGTGGCGGCTCCATGAAGAGAGGGGGCAGATGTGCCGCGTCAGCCGCATGCCTGGGTGCTGACCACGCTCGGCTCCCGCAGATAAGACGCCCCAGATTGAGTCACGCTGACGTCTCCAGACGAGATGTGCAGATTATCCCCAACCTGGAGTCGGGCTCAGCCTCCTCCGGGTAGAACCCGACCGGCAGCCCCGGCTCCGGCCGAGCCCTCGGAGCTCTTGCGCAAGGAGCTGCGGCAGCAGAATCCCAGGCACCGGGGAAAGTGTGAACTCGGCAGAAAAACGTGGATGGAGGACGAGCCGGGCCCCGGCTCCACCAGGGAGGTGTTGCAAGGGCTCCCCAGAGCAGCCCCAACGCCGCGTAAAGTTGGCTGTAAAGCTTGGGAGAAACGCGCTCTTTAAAATTAGGCACCAAAGCAGGTGATTAAGCACCAAAACAGGTGATTAAGCACCGAAACAGGTGAGTCTTGCCCCAAGCCAAACACCAAAGTGCTCCTGGCTCAGCTCCAGCTTCTCACAGGCATTGCCTGCTCAGCATCTTCGCTTGGGTTGAACCCTGTGACGTTCTCCAGCTCCAGAGCCCTTCAAAGGGGGGGGATTCCCTCTTCCAAGAGCTCACTGCCTGTCCCGGACCTCTCCCTCGGTCTGCAGCTTCCTGACCC